TAGTCGTCTATTGTTTTTTGCAATTCTATTTTTTCTGCATAGGACAATCTACGTGGGGGGCAACCAAATGGTTTAGGATCATCTAATAATAGCCTCATCTCACTACGAACATTTGGTTCGTTAGGTCGCACTGAATGCAAGTAACACTTTTCGAAAAGTTCATGAAGTGACATTTTATCTTTATATAAAATCTTATTATTTTATTAAATGATGACGAAATTATTTTGCAGGTCAATTGGTCAATTCTACACCTGCTAGTGCTTCGAGTAATTCGGCTTTACATTTAAAACGCTGCAATTTTGCATATACTCGTATTTGAGCGTCTGGAATTCCATCCACCACATAGTTAATCAACTCGTCATTATCCATGGAAATTTTATTTGCAAGCATAATTTTATCGTTGAAATATTTACAAAATTCTTCATTATAGTGCCACTTACGCAACTCGAACTTTTTGCGAAGTTTCAATTTATTTTCCCGCACTCCGAACATTATTGATAGTTGTTTCAGCAACTCGTCGACACTCTCAGTCATCAAATTTTGCACATGCTTCAATGTATGTGCATTAACATCTCTTAAATTACTAAATGCATCATTGTCGTCCGTTACCTGTATTTGTACAGTGCCGCTGTAGCTTGTTGGTGCCCTTTTATCACCCTGAACCACATTTTGGTCAATCGTTTTGTCTACATGAATACCGCCAACGACTGCCTCTCCATCAGATCGACGGAGTTCTGCCACGGACCCTTGATCACTTTCACCACCATTATCTCCAACAATTTCAACATGCAGTTCTTTTTGACAGTGCTCAAAATTTGGCGAGTTTTTAACCGAGCCACCAGCGTGGCTTTGTCGCCATGTGCAGACAAACCAATTGTCTTATACATGTTTTTTAATTCTGACACAGTCTTTTTCGCTGTGTCACTCATTTTTAAAGTTTCTTTTTTAAAGTTACTAAAGAGATAATAATTACATCAATATTATATATTTTATATTTTTGAAATAAATCCACAAATTCTTATATATATTTATTAATTTATTAAGAACAAAAAAAAACATGCCGAATCCCACTTCTGAAATTGTAGGAAGTAATTACAAACTTCATCGCGTTATTTATCACCATTTATTACTGACTTGTTCAACTTCTTTGTACTTGCTTGCAGCTATATTTGCTGCTTACAAAATAGCAAATACAAATACACTCTCTTAAATCTATTTCCAATCTTTTAAGTCTAGTATCTCTTAAATCTAATTACAATAATACTTATATAAATCTAATTACAATAATACTTATATTACTAAAATAGCAAAGAGAGATGTTCTCGTCGAGATGTTAACTACTATATATCCTGAAGAAAGTGCATAATAACCCAAAAGTTGATGCCCCAGAACTGTGACGTTATAATACTTTGAGCAAACATGATCATTCAATGATCGGCCAAAGGTTTTGCGAAAGAATGGGTACACAAGCAGAGTTACATGAAGGAAGCCTCTAATAAATGAAAAATATAAGCTGCTTAGATTGAAATATGCAAATAAATACCAAAAAAAAGATCTGGAATTTTGGAAAACCGTTATGTTGTGAAATACGGTGGTGGTAGTACGATGGTGTGGGGGAATTTATAGCCTTCTGTGACCAAATTAGGTTTTGGAGATCACTGGTTTTTCCAACAGTGAAAGAATGGCTACTTTATTATGCTTCACGGCAACTTTACAGTTCTCCTCGATCACCAGACCTGAATCCTATTGAGTAGTTTAAGAGGTAGTACAGCACAAACCGAAAAATGTAGCGATAAGTAGCAAGGGTTCACTAAAAGGAGCTCTCACGAAAATCTGGTTTAAAATAAAGGCGTCAGAAACGGAAAATTTAGTCCTTTACATGCCACGTCGTCTGCAAGCAGTAATAGAAACCCATAATAGTCCAACAAAATATTAAAGTATTATATTTTGCTGAAAATTTTGTCAATTTCTTTGCATTACACATAATTTTTGCATGTGTATTTGCTTTAACGGCAGAATTATTTAATATATTAAGTCTGCAAGGCTCTTTACATGCTGTTGCAATCGCATCACAGTTGTGTGATTTTTCTTTGTTTTATTTTGCAGACTTTTTTTTCGTAAGTAAATGTGTAATTGTTTTTTTGACAGATTTTACACAAGTTATGGGAAAAACTAGCTGAAAAGAAACTTGATGTTTTAGAAGTAACCCAATCTGAAGAAGGACAACTCCAAAAATTAAATATTGTACTTAATGCAGTTAACCATGTAAGATATTTAAATTTACTATACATACGGAAGCAATAAGAAAAGTTGTTATTCAGACATTAGGCTTTCACCAAAAAATACCCAAATGGTCTGTTGAAAGTATACATTCTAAAAATATGGTAGCCATACTTCATCTTCTCGTAGCATTAGTGAGACATTTTCGTGCTCCTGTTCGTTTACCAGAAAATGTGTTTGTTACCGTTGTTATTGCACAAAAAAATGGAGGACTTCTTAATGCGCAGTAAGTTTTTCGTATAGACGAGAGTATATGTAAAAAATAAGCATGTTAAACAAAAGAAACTGTAAAAAATTATTAAATTTAGAAAATATCAAGAGCAAATAACATCGGAATATGATGAAGTTGGAATGCGCTGTGAAAAGGACGCCTTTGATACACTTTTTGATTGTGCTCCAGAGAAATTAGCTGTAGTTAAAAAATCTTTAATAACATTTGTTAACAAACATTTGTCAAAATTGAATTTTGAAATAACTGATTTAAGTAGTGACTTTAGGGATGGAGTTTACCTTTGTTTATTAATGGGTTTACTTGGCGGTTTTTTTGTTCCACTCCATGAATTTCATCTAACACCACAAGATGTCGATCACATGACAAGCAACGTTGCATTTGCTTTTGATTTAATGCAAGATGTTGGCTTACCAAAGCCAAAAGCCAGACCTGAAGGTAATAATGAATATATATATTTTATTAACTTTCATCATTTTATGTCTTTTTAGATATCGTAAATATGGATTTGAAATCGACGTTAAGGGTACTTTATAGTCTTTTTACTACTTTTAGAAGTTGCGCTTAAAAAATGTTGAGCGATGCGATTTTTATAATTAACTGAATAGTACTTTAACTAATGCTTTATAATTATATAAATGAACCTTCAGGAAGGAACATATTGAGTTATACTAACATAACTAATAATAACTAATCACATTAAAAATTAAAATTTAAACATAATTGTATATTAATTTTTTAACTATTGTTATAAATAAAAATGAGCAAAAAACACTAATATTATTTTACATTAATTTTTATTTTATTCTCTTATTCTTTTTATTATTCTTATTCTTAATAGTTCGCCTTTAATCTTAAGTCATTTTCAGGAATCTGATAGTTGTATGATTTGATTTAGATCAAATATGTGCCGTTTTGTTCGTTAATTTGCTGCTATTTTAAAGTTAATTTCATTATGCCTTTCTCATAAAAAACTTCGTTCCCATTGGTAAAAAATTAGCATAGTCTATTTTCACAAACCTCTCTTGAAGCTTTGGAAGATGAATGCATAAGAACTTCCCAACAAAGCCCTTAGAACTTTTAGCAAGACATTATTGATGTGTGTGGCCTGTCGTTGTCCTGATAGAACACAATTTTTCTCCTATTGTCTAAAGCTGACTGTTTCCAAGCGTTTGCTTTCTTCAGAAAATTGTACCAATTGTTGACAGTATGTACCGAGTTAGGAGTTTTGCCGCAGGGAAGCGGTTCATAGTAGATGAGCAAATTTCATCAAACATACAGCAAAGACTTCCTGGCCGTCAATCCTGATTTAGCCACCTTGACAACACTGACTGTTGTCAAGTGTCATTTCCTTTCGTGTCAGGTGACGCTTTTATACAAAAGTTTGACATTATTAAACATAACCTACTTTAAACTTTTTGTCTAAAGGGTGATTTGTAAAATGAGAGTTTGCGAAAAAATTGAATTAGCGCGAGATAATTTTCGTGCTGTGATTTATTACGATTTTCGACGTGTTATCAAGACAAAACTGCATCGATTAACTTACTTCTATATTTGACGATGAAGCTTCATCCTTTGCCGATGTGAAACGCTGCTACAATGATTTTAATCGGGTCCGCAAATCGCTCAGTTGTTGTACCAGAAAATATTGATACTGTGCAAAAGCTGATAATGCGAGATCGTCATGCGCCACACTGTGAGATTGAGAGAACCCTGGGCATTAGTTCCACTAGTGTATATAAAATATTGCATGATTATTTAGCAGTCATTTGACAAAATCTCAAAAATCTCGACAGGTGCACACAAATGCTTAAGAAGTACAATGGCGGTGTAAACACAATAGCTAGATATATATAAGATTGTAACAGGTGACGAATCATGGATATATGAGTATGAGGCGGAACGTAATGTAACGTACATGTATTAAAATAACTAATTCCAAATATATTTTATTATGCATAGCGACATGGAATGCGCTTAACTAGCATAGTTCTAGCGCTTATCGCATAAGCAATAATATTGCTTGTGATACGAAGTATTATGTAGGCCTATGTGGAGGAAACATGTTGATTAATAAAGAAAAACAAAAAAAATTTCGAGACTTTACCTCGTACGTCTCACGCTATCCAAGAGCACCTTGCGAAGCACCTGTTTCCATTACCGCAACTAATCACACTTGTGTTTTTTTTTTGTTGTTGGTTATGTTTTTTATTTATATATTATTTCACTTTTTTGTTTTTTTTCATTGAATCACTAAAAGAAGAATTAATTAATAATGTGCACTCCGAGCACATGCCAAGAGAAATAGGTGAAAGCTTTTGCTTCTTTTAATGTCGTTTGTTTTGATTTGCTGCCAATAGGGCAGAACAAATTATATTAGGAGTTTTTATTTGTTTTTTTTTCGGAATGTCGAAAAAATCAAAACAAACGTTAGTAGCGGCAGTAGGGAACAGATTTTTACTAGCCCGCTAATATTGGTAACTGAACAAAAAGTTTAAGAAAAGGCAGTTACATGTATTAGCGGGGATATAAATTTCGAAGCGGTGAGGATAATGTCTCTTTTTTTGGAAGAAGTGTGCTTGAGGACGTAACAAAGTAATTTTACTGAGTTTTTTAAAGTATATATAGTGAAACGAACTAGAAATTGAGAAAAAGAAGTTATGAATTTAACAACTCAAAGATATACATTTATATACTGTTTGGAAAGAAGTGAAAATTAATTTAAATCACAAGCAAAAGTGTTAAAAGTGGTTATAGACCAATTTTCGAAGAAAATAAACATTTCGTTAATTTTCAAATAAGTTGAAAAGTAATTTAAATCACAAGCAAAAGTGTTAAAAGTGGCTATAGGCCAATTTTTCAAGAAAAATTTCATTAATGTTTAAAAGAAACATTAAAATCTCATAACTTGATTGCTTAAAGCAAACTAGTCTGTTGTTAGAAGAAAACATTTAAAACAGTTAAAAATTCATATCTACACTAATATATATAAATATAATCATCTACGTTGGTGGATAAAGAATAAACAAAAAAAAAACAATTTCCCACCCTCATAAGCTGCCAGTCAATATATAGGATAGAAGGTCGTCATGGAACCGGGACTGATCAACAGCTATAACACTAACAGGACAAGTAGTGGCATCACCAGGTATTCTGTATCTGTTAACAGTGAAGAAGAAAAATACCGTGAGGCTGCAGATTATAAAGAAATTTTTTTTAGTTTGAGCGGTCATAAGTTAGTTTACTTTTCTTGATGGTTAGAAAATTATAATGAAATAATATTTTATGTCAATTAAAAAAAAAAAAGAAAGGTTTTTTGTTAAAATCACTATAAATCCTTAGTTTTTTTACATGTTCTTATTTTTTTTTTATTTTTAAAATTTCTTTGTTAAATTTTGTTAAGTAATACGAAAAAAAAAGAAAAAAAAATTTTTCAAACGACGTAAAACTTTTTTAACCACATCAGCTGTTGATTTGTTATATATGGTAGACACATGTTGATGTGTTTATATAAACTTTCCTTATTTAATTTTTTTTGCAGCTAGGTACCTGTATCTAGTGTATACTCAATAGTAAAAGTAATAAACATAAATTGAAAATTAAACAATTGATGTGTAATAGGAATATTTTATTTTGTTTTGATTTTTATATGTATTTCATAAAAATTATATTTACGTATATGCATATAGGTATATGAGAGTTAATACTTAATTACAAGAAAGTTTATTTTTTTTTTATGCTACATAAATAAACTGAATTTGGTTTTGCTTACTCATTTTTCTGTTGTAATTGCTTATCGATATTTATAGAAAAAGACAAAAAAAAAATAAAAATATTTATAAAGTCACAAGCTATACTTGCTTTTTTTGAATTTTTTTTCTCTGGTTATTTATACATATATATATTTATTCGTATGTGAGTTGTCTTTGATTCTGCTAGTAGAACTAGCCAGATTATGAATTAGATACTTATCGATAGCTCTAGAGGTGTGCTGCAAGTTAGTCAAGGGGGCTTAACAAAGATAGCATTGAAACAGAAAAAAAAAGCCATTAACACACATACTTGGACATTAATTATTATAAAGAGTATGGCGACTCCCTCCAAACGAATGTCTTGAAGGTCAAACCCCACAGGTTGATGATGAGGAGCATCATCAGATTATTAGGGAAATGAGACAGATGTTGCAGGACCTTGAATTGAGTCCTGGGAAAGCAGGGTGGCTTCCCAGGAGTGCAGAGGATCCAGCCTGTGTCATGATCTCAAGTGGAGATAAGGTAATGCCGATCTTTTATGATAAATGTTTTTTTAAATTTCTGACGCAGCAAAGGGAATGAAGGACAAGATGTGTGGTAAATTTTTTTTATTTTTTTCGTAAAGTGTACAGCTGTATGGGAGATGTGCAGATCATTAGTGTTCAGTAAATAAAGGAAAGGAAAGAAACAAAAGAATGATAGAGGATGTAGGTTTTATATATAAGTATAATGTAGTTTAGAGAGCAGTTTTTTTGAATTGTCAACAAAAAATAGAAAAAAAATGAATTATAAAGAATTATGACTATATATTCAGTTTTTAAGTTTTAGGTACAAATTAGTTGTAGTTAGTAATAGCACAAGAAAAAAAAAATGAAGAGAATGTAGTTAAGAATGAAATTGTAGGTATAGTTTTTTTTGTTAATTGAATGAATAGAAGCAAGTCATGGCATGTTTTTTTTTTTGTTAGTTGTAAGCAGTAGTATTTAATAGCCAAGAACTCCCTCAAAAACCGGCGAGCATACCGGGCTTGCCACCATGTCATGCACGGCAGTTAATACTACAATAAAACAATATAAGCTACCACAACAGAAGATATTCGGGTATATATCTACAAATGCGTGTAGGTGACCCCATATGTACTAATAATTTTTATGCTTATGTATACTCATGTGCGTTTGTGCATACTTTACTTTAAGGTGGCTTCGTTTAAGAATGAAAGATTTAGATTGAATAAAGCCAGCAAAACGTACTTGTTTTTTATTTTTCTAACTTTACAGTAAACAGCAGTCACCCATATATATAGTGTTTCAAGATGAAGCAAATCCGACAAAATTTGTTCGCGCGCAAAGCACTTCGAAACAAATGGTCGCTTGTAAAAACGAAATATGGTTAGTATACCATTGCAGAAACTAAAAAGCCCAATTTCAAATGGTATACAATCATTTGTTTACTGAAAGTCATCTGTGAAATACGGAACACAAACAAGCACCGTCGGATCATTCTTTATCAAGACAATGCGAGTGTTCGCACATCTCACCTAATTACCACTATTTGAACATTCAAAAAATCGAATTGATCAGTCATTCGCCATACAGTCCTGATTTGGCACCAAATGCCTTCTTCTTGTTTACGAACGTCAGGAATAAATTGCGTGCACAACTATTTTTTCGGCGGAAGCTACAACGAAGCCGTTGTATTTAAAAATTATATTTTGGAGGTAATTAAAGAAGATTCGAAAAATGCTTTAATAAATGGTTCGAACGCAGGCAAAAGTGAATTACTCATAAAGGAGAATATTTCAAAAACAATAAAGCAATTTTCAATGACAAGTTGTTATTTTTTCGTTTTTACGCTCAAAATATAAGTGACCCTGATAATACTGAAATATGAAATCCTTGGTCTGTTTATTGATACATTAATATATCAGGGCGCAGTTGTCAATATTAGTTTTAAAATTGAGGCCGGTGTGCTAGGTGGGACTTTTAAAATTATGAGCATTTCCAAGAAATAACGTTTGCGTT